CGACTAGGTGCTGAACCAGGGTTCAAGGCCAATAGACCGGTACCAAATGCAGCCAGGTCAACCGTTGAGCAAGAGCTCGATCGACTGGAACGTGCCGAAGTCATCACAGCCGTCAACCACTCATCATGGGCCGCACCTATTGTCGCAGTGAAGAAAGCAAACGGCAAGGTACGCGTCTGCGCTGACTGTTCAACTGACCTCAACGCCGCGCTGGACGACCACCAGTACCCATTAGTAGTACCGGAGGGTACCTTTGCAAAGTTGAATGGTGGTAAGTATCTTGCAAAGCTTGATCTATCCGATGCTAATCTGCAAGTGGATGTTGACGACGTCTCGAGGCAGTTGTTGACGAGCATCACTCATCGTGGGCTATTCCAATACAACCGCTTGCCATTTGGTGTGAAAATGGCGCCAGCCATCTTCTAACAGTTGATGGACGCCATGCTAGTGGGCGTATCTGGAACCGCTGCATATCTAGATGATATCATAGTGGTGGGCGGAACACCGGAAGAAATCTTTAACCGACTGGATGAAGTGCTTGGTTGTATACAGTCGTACGGTTTCCGGATTCGTGCGGATAAATGCACATTTTTCATGCCGATTATCAAATACCTCGGTTTTATCCTCGAAAAGGACGGAAGTCGACCAAATCTAGCAAATATAGAAGCCATTAGAAGGATGCCTCCTCAGACAGCTCTGCAGTCCTTGCGTTCCTTTTGTGGGCTCATCAGCCACTACAGCGCACCTGCCTGAGATGCACCGCCTGCGTGCCTCGTTAAACAAGCTATTAGCCAAAGGAAACAGATGGAACTGGACATAAGAATGCCAGCACGCCTTCGAACGCGTCAAGTCACTGCTGTCCTCGAACTTGCTTGTGACTCATTTTGACCCATCCAACGAAATTGTCTTGGCCACAGGTGCATCAAGCCATGGAATTGGTGTAGTAAGAACACGCACCTACGCCGATGGATTTCAGAAGGCAATCACCCATGCCGCCAGAACACTTACGAAGGCCGAGAAGGATTACAGCCAGATTGAAAAAGAAGCATTGGCCATAGTGTACGCGGTCAAGAAATTCCACAAAATGCCATCCGGCGGCCGCTGCAAGCTTCTGATAGATCACAAGCACTTGCTGGCTATCTTTGGTTCAAAAAAGGGTATTCCGGCCTGCACCTCTAACCGGCTACTACTTTGGGCTCTTACCTTAATGGGGTATGATTTCGAGATCCAATACCAGTCGAAAGTTTCCATTGGCCAAGCGGATGGACTGTCACGCCTAATTGATGCCCGCCAGCAAGAACATGAGGACACAATCATTGCCTCGGTCGAGATCGAACCTGACGTCAACGTCCTGGTAACTGCTGCATTGCACCGCCTTCCAGTAACCGCAGAAGCTGTACGAACAGAAAGCTTCGGGACCCAATACTCAAGCAGGTTACACGAGTTCAAAAAACAAGTTGGCCACATTCATGTCCATCTGCCGAGTTGCAACAGTACTTACAGCTGAGACACTCGCTCTCTAGTGTAAACGACTGCATACTATTTTCTGAAATAGTGGTCATTACTAAGGCACTTCAGGAGCACCTTATTCGGCACTTTAACGCCGGGCATCCTGGAATCAACGAGAGGAAGACGCTTGCCTGAAGTTATGTATACTGGCCCCTCATGGACAAATAGCTAGAAGAAATAGCTAAACGTTGTCAGAAGGTCGCCAGTGTCCTGAAATCATCACAAAAATTAGTACTCTATTCATGGCCAAAAGTTACTAAGCCATGGTACCGCATCCATGTCAACTTTGCGGGACCGATCAACGGTCGAAGTTTCCTCATTATAGCCGACGCATACCGCAAGTGGCCTGAAGTATTTCTTATAGTCAACACAACTACCAAAGCCACCGTATCGAAACTGCGCCAAACCATTAGCAGGTTCGGCTGTCCTGAGCAAGTTGTCACTGACAATGGCTCACCATTTACTTCAGCAACGTTTCCGGAGTTTTGCAAGCAATGCGCCGTACAGCACGTCGGCTCGCCGCCGTTTCATCCACAGTCGAATGGCCAAGCAGAAAGTTTGGTCGCTACATACAAGCGAGCTCTCCACAAAGCAAAAGGGGAGGGACGTATAGAGAAGGTGCTTGACCGGTTCCTTTTTCATACCGATCCACACCGAATCCCCCAGCGCCAGACTGAGTGTCTCCAGCACAGGCCATGATGAACCGGAAGCTCCGTATGCCTTTCGACGCCATCGGAACGCGCTCGGAGTCCTCTGCTGGTGAAAGAAACTGCAGAATGGAACAGGACTTTAACCGGCGGCATGGAGCAAGGTAGCGACTTTTACGCTTGGACAGAAGTTGCTAGTACGTGACAACCGGGAAGGCCATGCGAAATGGACGCCAGGGACTGTCAAAAGCAAGCGCGGAATCGTCGTGTATGACGTGATGGTGGGCGCACAGATCTGGCCACGGCATGCAAACCAGGTACGGCCCACATCTTGCCAACCAGAACAAGCAAGGCCTACTGACCTGCCGTTCGATTTACTGGTGGAAAGTTTCAACTTGCTGAAGGATGCAGTGGACGACCGCACACAGTCGAGCAAAGAATCCAGAAAAAGAACATGGGAACAAAGTACTCGAGTCAACCCAACCTATTCAGTGCTATCTGTCGTTCTAGGGAGCTAGCATGATTATCACCACCTAATACTCGCCTACGCACATCATCGTTGCGTACACGCTGGCGCCATCCGACACCAGCAATGCTTCGCAAACAACGATGATCAAAGACTTGAAGGCGCCTCAGATCTTCAGACCGAAGGGGCCAAGTTTCACTACCATAGAGCAGAACGGCCCTCACTGTGACCTTGTATACACGGCCTTCCAGACGGTGGGAAACTCCTTTCTGTCGCCAAAGATGACGCAGGTTCATCATTGCATCATCATTGCATGATGAGATACAATAAACAGGGCAGTCCACAAGCAGTCCACATCACCACACAGGCGTGCAGCCATCTCCTTATGCAGCTCAGTACGTTTTGCCACATTACCGATGGAAAGAGTAATAAATTTACGCTGATTCACCGTGGGGGTGCAATATATCGATTTACGAAAATATACGTACAGTTCGGTCCGCACCCACATCTGTTCAGTGCCACACTCAGCTGCAGGCAGTACCTCTTTCATGCTCACTTAACGCATAGCACGCTGACGTACAATGACATAGCGGAGCTGGTGAGTGTGAGCACTCCGTGTGTGCGTCCAAGTTGCTACATCACTGGCAATCAGTGCAAACCGAGTGTTCGTGATCGTCAGGCCGTGAGTGTCATACAGTGAGAGCAGCCTGTCACCGTTCGCATTCATTGAAACAATGCCATGCGCACGGATAACATCTGTCCACGCTGATGCAGCACGCGTAACGCTTCGTAACCCTACATGGGAACGTGAGTTTGTGCGGCTGCCATAGTTCAGACGGTGATGGAAACGGATTGCGGTTTTCCATTGACCGTTCCTCATGTCCTTATCCTAAGACGATATTCGTCCGACTTCTATGCTTGCCCTTCTGTCATCGTGGTGGCTAGTTTCGGAATCAATTCTATACATATCATGTCACTCCCGAGGTATGGTGAGTACGCATGAACACGACACTGCAGATGTGGCTAAACGGCTGCCTCATGTAACCGGAAGAAAGCATCCCCCTCAATATGTCATCAGGTCAGTGCACATCCGCTTATTGATAACTGCGCAGTTGCCCCTTACCTGTCTGTAACAGTTAAGTAATTGTTCTTTACCTTCCTTACCGGCTTTTCCTTATCTCCAGCTACCTTCGTAGGAAGTCATTAGCACGGTAACAAAATGTGACTACCTGCGCGTTGCTGTGTCTCAGCATCTACGTTCAGAACTATTTAGCAACCACACTGAAGGCCTGCCCTTCTCCCGTTCGCTGTCCTTGCATCATGTAACACTTGCTCTCTTCTGTTCAGCAAACAACTTAAGTTGTCCATGCGCAACGTCACCTTTCTGTACATTCATTTACGTATTCCGCACTACATCAGCCACACCGACGTCTACTGCAGTTTTTCTCTCTTACGGGCTAATCCCGACACGTGCTTCCTTGCTAAACGCACAGCTGTCACTTTCGCCTTTGCGACAAGTAAGTAGTTGCAGTTTCGCTTTGCCACTTGTTTTCCCCCCTCAGCTTTCTTAGTTATACACTGTTACCTCCCCAGCCTCATTTCAATGTATGCCCGTCGCTGCGTCTTACTTCATTATACCATGAACTATATAAAAGCTGCATTTTATGCCTGCGCTCCTCCCGTTCACCGTTCTCCAATTCATGGAACCTTTGTTACGTGGCTACCGCAGACCAAACATAAGTCAGCGTAAGCGTCCCAAGGACGGACCTTCATGTAATGATTACTCGCTCCTTACTTGATGCCCAGCCGTCACTTACTTCGCTGTGACAGGTAGGGAAACAACCATGCAAGTTAACGTTATAGGTGATAAGCGGCGGTGTAGGTAAATGGTTCGTTACATAGACGAAACAGGTGGTATAAACTTGACGGACGTTTTGACCATTCAGAAATGTCCACCGCTAGGTGTGTGCGCTTGTATCTAGCTCTGAACCCACCAAGGGTGAACACTGAGAAATGGTTTCCGAAGGCTGATACGCGCCCAATACACAATGCTGTGTGGCAAAGAATCACATAAAGTGAAGTGCATGGTGAGAGACAATTCAAGTTCAGACGGTTACCGACCCCACCTCTGAACGTATGTTCCCCGTGCTGCAACCCGTGTAGGGGAGACGCGAGGACATAGAACAGGGGTGGCCCTGAACAGGGCCTTTGGGTCGTTCACAACGGCAAAAAGGTGAGAAAGGGAGGACCTATACCACATACAGACGTGACGGCGACTTGTTATCCACAGCGCGCGGCAAACCGTAGCAATTCCAATACAACGTGTGGAAGCCTACGGTAAGTTGTAATGGAATACCGTACTCACTTTGCAAGGTGACATGGTCATTCACGGGTGTTCTGTCGTCCCATGGCGATACAGCGGACACCACACCTCCGGGTGGGAGAAGGAAGTTCTGCACTCATCACGCATGAACAGGGGCTTGGGGAAGCGGATCGGTGGGAGTCGGCTCGGTGGCGGCTTCACTGTAAAACAACACTACAGCAGCATGGCTTCCCTTACCTGTGAACAAGTGCGATTGCAGGTTCACATGGCGGTGGGCGGTGCGTCGGAGTCAGCTAGGTGGCGGCAGTGAATGGGCAACGATTGGGCGGTGCATGTGGGCTTCACTGAAAAATAAAATCCGCAGGATGGCTTTCCTTACCTGTGAACAACTGCGATTGCAGGTTAACATGGCGGTGGGCGATGCGTGGGAGTCGGCTGGGTGTCGGCAGTGAATGGGCAACGATTGAGCGGTGCATGTGGGCTTCACTGAAAAATAAAATCCGCAGGATGGCTTTCTTTACCTGTGAACAACTGCGATTGCTGGTTAACTTGGCGGTGGGCGATGCGTTGGAGTCGGCTGGGTAGCGGCAGTGAATGGACAAGGATTGCGCGGTGCATGTGGGCTTCACTGTGAAACAACATTACAGCAGCATGGCTTCCCTTACCTGTGAGCAACTGCGACTGCAGTTTAACATTGCGGTGGTGGATCCGTCAGAGGTGCCTCAGTGGCGCAAGTGAATGGGCAGGTTATGGGCGGTGCATGTGGCCTTCACTGTAAAACACCATTGCACGTAGATCGGATTTCTTACCTGTGAAAAGCTGTCATGGCAGGTTCACATGGCGTTGGCGAAGCGCCCGAGGTGGCTCCGTGTCCCACGTTTATGAGCACACTATCGGCTTTACATGTGGGTTCAACTGCAGCACAAAATTAAACATGCATCCTAATTCTTACCTGCGATGACATATGACAGCGCGAAATTGAATAACATTTCTCCGTGTGTACGCGTTCCCGTGATAAACGACAACCATGAAGCAACGGAAGGAAAAACTGTGAGGATGCTTCCAGGAAATTTTACGTTCTGTAAGCATGGGTAACACACATTTATCTAAGTACCTACCGGTACGTGGGAACACATGCCCTGCCATTGATTTCCGCTGCATACATGACAACCGAATTACGATGCCTAAAGGACCGTCCGTAACGGAAATACTAGGAGTAACTTACCGTTGCACTATGTTTCCTCCGTGCTGCAGATCTATCGCCGCATTGTTCCATTGCAATTAAAAGGTGTTGATATCAAGGGGAAAAGTAAACACAGCATGCTGTAAGGGAAATGCACTCAGGGTAAGGGCACAGATAAGGTACATACCTGCGCCGTGTGGCATGCAACCGCGGTCAGGCACGTTACGGTTACACTAGGACGAGCAGGAGAAACACAGAAATTCGTCCGCACCCGACTAGCACACGCAGGACGCGTGGTACCAGTGGGAGCACGCGTCGCACTGGACCCATTGCACCGAATCTCCATGGCCATCAACATCGTCCTACTGCTGACATACTCCGCATAAATCCTCCGAAAGGAAGCCCTGCTTTCCCCGTTTCTGTCTCACACGAACCCGGTGGCCCGTGGATGTCCGAGTGCGAAGGTTACGGAATCGTTGGTCCCTTAGGGCACTCTTATCCGGGCTAACCTCTGTCACCCTGCACTTAAGGGGCGATTTTCGTTTCCTGGACCCACCTGTGGATGTCGATGGAACAGGTGTTTCCGTTTCATTCACACGCACCACCTCATTCACCTGCGTACCTTGCGAAGGGCCAACCGCTTCTCCTGTCGACGTGGTGCATACCGCAGAGGCTGAGCCACCATCAGACGTCCCCTCAGTAGGCAAGCCGCATAAGATGCACACGTTCTCCTCGGTATCCAAATGAAGGGGTACAGGCCACCTTGACGTTCTCCCATACAAATGAAAAGTGGCGTCCTTCGACATCAGCAACGCAACCATTTTTAGGTAATTTAACGCACCAGAGAAGTTCTGCGATCCGTAGGTAACAAATTGAGCGCCAATGTCCCCTAATACATACTGCGTCCTGCGAAGTTTCACTGTGCGGTTCACAACTGCATCGCCATCCACCGCGTTACGTTGCACAATCTGCACCCTCTCAGCGGACGCAACGGACTCCGATGACGCTGCTGTAGGTAGCCGGGGTGCGATCCAGCGACATCAATGGAGTATGTTCCGCGCAGCGTGAGTGTAACGCGCCGCCACATAACAAATGTGAGCACAGGGCAGCCGCCACTGCCGATTAAACTCACAACGCATTCACTGCCCCGCGTTATGTACACTCGACGCACTCTCGAACGAGGACAGGTAACCAACCAGTAAGGCCCATCAGCCCTACAACTGAGAACCGTCCACGTACGGAAATGCTGCGTGAAAACATCGCCCGCAAAGTCGCTTAGTTTGGAGAATACGGAAGCCACTGAGGACACCTCAGATGGAACAGCAATTGCGCTCATGCACCGCCTACCTATTATGCTGTTCCTTTGGTGCACCAGTGTGTTGACCCTATCAACCACGCAATTGAACAGGGTGAGTAGGGAGGACCTCTCCGACAGGTATTCCTTCAAATGTCGGTTTCCATTCCCTACCCTGTTCGTGGTGTGGCAACCAAAAAGAATAGTATCCCTGAGTCTGTGCGCCGCCCAAGAGTCCGCGTGGGGAATCCACGTCGCGCACAAATAACCGTACAATTCAGGAGACGCCCTGCCCACCGCATTCAATATCCTTTCAAATACCGAGGCGTCACGAGTGTATATGAAGTTATGGAGCCAACCTCGTAATTGCATTCTACGCGGATCAGAGATCCCGCGGAAGCGGCCGCAACGTCGAGACATGTCCACTTTAACGTGGTAACGACAAAAAACAACCTTTGCGTTCGGATAAAATCGTCTGAACGCGCGGATCTGAGCGGCGCATTTATCCATCACCACTGTGTGGCAACGTAAGGCGTTAGGCACCATTTCCCGCATCGCCTCAACCGCTTGCCCATAGCTGTAGGATGTCTCATCCGGTAATAGGGTGTAGAAAAAGGAAATACCCAGACGTGTGACATCCACCAGCATGCAGTGCCACAAAACGTAGCCGCCATAATTCAGTTGATGGGTGGCATCGCATAACAGCACCTCACCATAACGATTTACAATGCCGCCAACTAACGATGGAGAGAAAAAACATAACGTATCCGACTACCCTCCGACACCCACCGACGCGCACCGTGTCCTTGCAACATCGTTGCCACGTCTGACACTTCAAAAGCATTCGCATTCCGATGACGAATGCGCAAATT